TTCAAATGTTCATCTATCCTCAGCTTATGCACCACAGTCGGAGGCTGAGAAGGAGTACATGTCGAGAGTCCCATATGCTAGTGCAGTAGGTAGCTTGATGTACGCTATGGTATGCACTAGACCTGATCTTGCACATGCTGTTAGTGTTGTCAGCATGTTTATGATACAACCTGGGAAGGAGCATTGGCAGGCTGTGAAGAGGATCTTTCGGTACCTTAAGGGTACACCTGATGTGGGGATTAGCTTCGGAAGTGATACGGAGTGCTTGGTGTCTGGGTATTCTGACTCGGACTATGCTGGAGATGTTGACACGAGGAGATCGATGACCGGTTATGTATTCACTCTTGGGAGTTCAGTAGTGAGCTGGAAGGCAACTTTGCAGTCGGCGGTGACATTGTCTACTACTGAGGCAGAGTATATGGCGTTGACAGAAGCTGCTAAGGGGGGAATATGGTTGAAGGGACTGGTTGGTGATCTGGGTCTACATCATGATCAGGCAGTGGTGTATTGCGACAGTTTGAGTGCAATATGCTTGGCCAAGGATCAAGTCCACCATGAGAGGACTAAGCACATAGACGTGAGGTATCATTTCTTGAGGACAGAGAAGAGGATTAAGGTGAAGAAGGTTGGCACCGTGGATAATCCTGCTGATATGTTCACGAAGCCAGTTCCACATGGCAAGTTCCAACACTGCTTGGACTTGCTGAATGTCTTGAGTGGGTGACTCCGCTCTACGGGGCATTGATGGCGGGAGAGAGAGAGAAGGAGCAGAGTACATCAGAGATTTCAGAGGAAGAGGATTCAAGTCAAGGTGGAGATTTGTTGATATGACTTGAATCGGACTATCAGCCGCTACGACTGGTAATCGGGGGTCTCGCTGACCGGTATATGTTCTCAATGTTATTTGGGTTCGGGTTCTGGGCCTGGTCTGTAACCGTTTCCTTTGCCAGATTGGATTAGGTTTAGACCCACATGGAGAAGTACTATAAATACTTCTCATACTCCTCTGTAATCGGTAATCTCCTCGATATAGTGAAACTGGCTCTCTCTCGCCCGTGGACGTAGCTAACACACATCGTGTTAGTGAACCACGTAAATCGTGTGTCGTGTTTTCGATTCTCGCTTTCGTATTCTTGCTTTGTCGATTCCTGCGATTTCCCGATCCGTAGCAGCGCGTTTATAACATAAGGGAAGTGGGTTTTTCATTTTCGTTTTTATTCTACTATCCTATTTGACATCCACGTGTAAAGTTTGATTGCTTTTTGGCTTACGTGGCAGGCGAGATGGCATGGAGTCAACATTCTGTTAGTGAATTTTACGCCGTCTGACATGTCGTTATAGTTTCTGACGGAAGTAAATAGATTTGTCACACAACTTTCCGATTTTTGGATATTTCGTGTATTTCGATAGTTGTGGATATATTTGTCACAAACCTGATAGTTGTGGATATACAACTGTATTTTGCCTAAAATTTATCATTTTCAAATATCCCAAAGAATAAAATATAAATTCTATGTTGTATTTTCTATTTTTTGGTTAATTTGAAAATGATAACTAATAGAAATTAGGAAAATAATTTGAATTTGAATTTTTTATAATTTTTACGCTGACGAGGCAATGACATGGCGTGTTGACTAAATGTCAAACCATGTGTCGGGCCAATTGAGTCTATATGTTGCATAGTAGAGGCCAGGATACTAATTTCTGAAACCACGGGCCAAAGTTGATTATATGGTCATAGTTCGGGCCAAAATAAAGTATTAACCCATAATAGTAGTATGAATTGACTTCAAAACTCCAAAAGGTAAATGCCAAGTTTGGTCACTCGATTAACTAAAGAGTGTCATGTTTAGTCACTGAAAAAAATTAGTATCAATTTTGATCACTCGAATTAGTAAAACCATTTCACGTTTAGTCACTCTCCGTTAACTTTGAGGCTGCCGATCGGCGCCGTTTCGATTCCGTTCAACAAACCCTCCACGGCCACCTTATTCTTCCTGTGCTCCTCCGATTCGATCTTCCTACAATACAACGCCCCAATCCTCGACACGGTGCCCGGAATGCAATGCGGCACGAAGAACAGCCACATGGATGTGAAAATAATCGCGCAGATCTTCCCCCAGAACTCCAGCACCACTAAGCTCACCAAAACCAAACACAACCCCACGTTGGTGCTGTACCGCCCTTTCCCCAAAATCCCTAGTCGCTCACTTCACAATAATGCTCTCCACTTAGGGAGCCAAATGGCGTGCAAGATATTGAAGAAAACACATTAGAGGAAGACAAAGGAAGTAAAGACTCGTGGATGGGCGTACCTTTAGTTACGAGATGGAGAGAAAATGGGAGCAAGGTGGTATTGGCGGTGGAGGAGTTGTTGCTGTCGGTGGCGAAGTTTACACCGGCAGGCGGATCTCGGGCCTGAGAGGGCGCGAATCAGGATTTCGATAAGGTGCTCCTCCCCGAGTTTGCTAATCGTCATGGGACTGATTCGTTGTCATTTTTCGGAACAGTGACGGAGCAGCTGAACCAAATCCGAGATGCAGTCTTTCATCGCCATTGCGGAGACAGATGTATTGAAGGAAGATGACGCCAACCGGCGACGGAGGAGAAGGGAGTCCGGAGGTGGCTGCAGTTCGTATCCCGGATGGGGAAGAGATTTTTTTTTTGAATTTTTTTATTTTAGTTTATCATTTTAATGATGTGGAAATATTATAAGAATTAAATTATTTTTTCTTAATTTTTTAATTGCCACTTCAGACATTTAACGGTCAACTGTTAGAGTTGACTGTCACATTAGATAAAGTTAACGGAGAGTGACTAAACGTGGACCGTTTTACCAATTCGAGTGACCAAAATTGATATTAGGGGTCGTTTGGAAATTGCGATTATTAAATAGATGTATTGTTGAGAATGCATGTATAATATTATACATGTATTGTCGAATTTGATGCATTGTAGAATACAACGTTTGGTATGTGTGATTGTGTATGTCGCATCAGCTAAAAGCTGAGACAAAACAATCTCAACTCAACTACCTCAACAATCACAACTAAAAGTTGAGATATAACAATCACTCAAAATGAGTGATAGTTTCTGTCACATCAAACAATCCATGTATTGTTTCTGCTAAAAAAACAAAAACAAAAACGACGCATTGTAAACAATACATGCATAATGACAATCTCAACAAAACAATCGCAACTTCCAAACGACCCCTTAATTTTTTTTAATCGATTGGGATTTTCATTTCATCAAAAAACACCAAGTACTTTACTGACAACAAAATTATGTCAGTTGAGCTTAGAAACTGATAGACCAGTACATCAGAGTAGACCTGGCTATCAATCTATCATAAAATCAATAGCAACAATCAAGATTTAAAAAAAATTGAGCTAAGACAATAGGATCTACAACCATCCTAATATCCCTCTTAACGAACATAATCAATTCATTCACATCTAACTTCTTACCACCAAACTTAACAAGACACCTCTATCTCCATATAAGTTCTCAAGCTTGAGAAGAAACAAATTTACGTTTAAACTGCAGAGTGGCCCATTGAAGCTCTGATTGCCACTGATTGCCAGGTATTCCGTCTGCAAAAATGGCAAAGAGATCATCAAACATCTGTTTAAACATTTGACATTCAACAAAAAGGTGAGTTCTTATTTCTAACACACTCGAGCATAACACACATCTATAGGTACCGGCCCCTCACTATATCCCTGAACTATATCCCCAGTTATGATAAAATCATTAACGATTAGCCACATCAGGAACTGATTTTTAGGGATGCTAGGGCCCTTCCAAACCAAGGAGTGTCAAGGAACAAAACTTCCTTTGGACGAAGTTCCTCCCATACCTTCCTGATACTGTATTTGACCATTAGCTCACCTTTTCAATAGATACCATCAGTTGCAACAGAAATCCATGCTCTAAGTTTATCTCTGCTTTTCAGTAACTTCTGCCATAACCAAGAACTCGCCTTAGATGTTAGAGTCCAGAAGTCCCCCCCTCCCCCCCCCCCCCTAATTTAATGTGATATTGTAAGAACCCCGCTTCTAGGGATTCTAAGGACTAATCTTGGGCACCCGTGAGCTTGGGATTTAGAGTTGAGATTAGGAATTTAGATGAGAAGAACAAAATAGAATTGGAAATCGGCCGAGGCCTTGGATTAGGAGAGAATAGAAATTAGGAGCTTAGAGGATAAACTAGGGTTTAGGAGACTGTTCTTAATATTCTACTTGACTCATTATGACGTAAACCCAAAGTACATATTTATAGTGATATACTGGAAAACTCTAATAATAATCCTAATTCGACTAAATCTCTACTAACCATAATTATAATTATCCTACCTAATATAATAATAGAAACCCCAAATAAATGTGTTTCTGACAATCCATCCCCCTTGAAACCAACCTTGACCCCAAGTTTGTAGTTGACTTCTACCTCCTTGACCTTCTGCTTTCTTCGTTTCCAATTGCGCTCGATCCCTTGAATGAACTCTTCTCGTGCAACTCCCACTTTCCTTGTCTCTTCTCCACCCACGTGACATTTGTCACGTTCTCCATTGCCAAACAATTCTTCTTTCTCTCTTGCGAAGTCCACGAAATAAAAACTGGAGAATTGTTCATCTTTACGCTCCAACTTGGGTTCTTCAAGTGAATGATCCATAAATTCTTCCATGAGCTTGGTGGTGAAAAGAACCCATAACCTTTACCCACCTTTTCTTCCTTCACATTGGACTAGGCACACATATTCTTGGAAGAAAGAATTAGAGCTCAAACTAATGTTAAGCCTCATTGTGCCCTTCTTCTTTTCATTTACGTTTAGATTTGGATCATTTGAAAGACCCAACACCCACTTAATAAGCTCATCTCTCTTTCTCAAAAGACAGCACATGGGCGGCCCATCTTCTTGATGAGCCCAGCTGGCCTCTCCCTTCAATACCAGCCCATAGCTTCCCTCTACAATTGGGCCCACAGGTTGCAATCCATCATCGCACAATAATTTTGTTAGCCCACCCTCATGGTGCCCTGGTCTGGCTCAAGCCCATATGCTCACTAGCCCAAAATCTCCACTTCTCTTGCAGTCTTCTCGGCCCAATGACCCTGTGACCCAAACCACCTCTCGGTCCAACCGTTCTGGCCGCTTGGTATTGGTGGCGTGACCTAGGGTTGCTGGAGAAGGAGACCTGCAGCCACCTTCTCTCTTCCTCGCACCATCTTTTCCCGCGACCCGCAGTACCTTCGACTGCACGGCGGCCAGCGCGAATCTGCCGCCGTCTTCAATTTCGTCCTCGTCCCCAGCTTCCCCGACGACTTCTTCTCCGCCGAGTGCAACTCGTCGTTGGTAGCTAAGGGAGAGGAGGCGTTGCTGCCATTCCTCTCTATCTCACTCATCGGCGACGAGCATAGTATCCCGCCGCCACCGCGCTTCTTTTTCTTCCTCTCGACCTCGTTCACCGGCATCGAGCCCTCCACGCTGTCGTTGGGTGGAGATCCCAAAGCATTCATCTCCGGCAAATCCTTTTTCTTCTTCTCTTCTTTTTTCCGGTCATTCTTCGTCGAGATGGAAATCGCCCCAAATTGCGACACCGCACGAGGGATTCGCGCCCGACCAAACTTCTCAAACTTATTCTCCGACGAAACGTCCATCCCGTGTCTCAAGCGCATGGTTGACGATGATCGATCATCCAGCGGTAGCCACGGTGGTTGAGTGGCCGGATTTAGGGGCACTCTACTCCCGGTGTGGGGCCCTCGATCTGGATGCCTATCCAACTCCCCCTTCTTCGAGAAAAAATCCAATTTTGTCAAGTAGCCTGGTGCTTCAAGGGGCCGCGATGGAGGCATGCTGCTGCCTTCTTCCTTTTCCACAGCGACAACCAACAAAGGCGGAGACTTGGTCGCTTCTGTTGTGTCGGGTCTCTCTTTGGTGAACGGCGGCTCTGCCGCCAGAGGCTCCTCGATCTCCATTCTCTTCTCGAGCTCGACGGGGAACCCAGGTTGTTCCAACTACTCTTTGAAATCGATTTCTGCTATCATCGGTTCGATTGGGACTGGGCTCCTCGCCACCTTCGGTTGGCGAGTGTTTCTGGTAGATTCCAACTTCATCTTAAGAATCCCTGTGATTTCTTCGATAGAGAGATCGAAGTTGGTCGAAACCATGGTACGGGTGCCACAACCGGGCTCTGATACAACTGTAAGAACCCCGCTTCTAGGGATTCTAAGGACTGATCTTCGGCACCCGTGAGCTTGGGATTTAGAGTTGAGATTAGGGATATAGATGAGAAGAACATAATAGAATTGGGAATCGGCCGAAGCCTTGGATTAGGATAGAATAGAAATTAGGAGTTGAGAGGATAAACTAGGGTTAAGGGGACTGTTCTTAATATTCCTCTTGACTCATTATGACATAAACCCAAAGTACATATTTAAAGGGAAATACTGGAAACCCCTAATAATACGACCCTAGGGGGTGTATTGTTACCAAAGTAACGTAGCAAAAAATCAATCCGAAGATTGATTAAATTCGAATAAAGAACAATGCGTTCTTAATACGAAAATTGGATAAAACGGAACCAACGGACAATTCCACACCTGGGGAAAGCTCGTATGGTATAAAAGGGTAGCTGCTCGATCACGATTTAAGAGAATATTCAATCGATACAAAGCTCACAACTTTGGAATCCTTCAAACTCAAATAAGTCGCAACTCGCACAAAACCAAAGGGTTTTGTTTTTCGATTAATCAAAGTCTTCTGTCTTTACAACGTAAATAGACAGTATTTAAAGGCAAATAAAACCTAATACAATCCTAATAGAACTAGGAAACAATTAAGGTAAAAGTTTACACTAAAAGGACACAAAATTCGGGTTTAAACTCTCTTTCTTCAAGCGCAAGTAAGCTGCCAGCAAAACAGTCAAAAGGCAGCTTTCATACTAACTTCGCGCCTTTCGTTCGAGGCCTTTTAGAACTCCAATCTTTCATCCAATTCCTTCCCTTGGTAGATAAACATTCCTAATTTCATGTTGTAGAAGACTTTTGACTTGAATCCCATCCATGCTCCTTGAATTGAGCTCCAAAGTAGGCTTCACAAAACAGTTTTCTGCCTTAGCCATTTTTTGGCAGTTTTCCAGTTTTGAGGTTGCAACGTTGAGGCCTTGGAAAACAACCTTAACGACATCATCTGGATCCACAAAGCATATCATTGGAAAGATGGAAACTTTATCTACAAAACAAACTCTTAACCTTGAATTCCCACCTAGCCAATTGAGAAAACCATGCCTCCAAAGTATGTACCCTGAATACAGATTTTGACTTAGCCAAAATTTTCCTTTCTTCTTCCCAACTTCGATAGCTTCTTTGTCAAGTAATTGTGACGTGAATGGTGGGAAATTTGGGATCATATCACCTAATAATAATAATAATCCTAATATGATTAAATCTCTACTAACCATAATTATAATTATCCTACCTAATATAATAATAGAAACCCCAAATAAATGTGTTTCTGATAGATATTCCCAAAGCCAGGCAACCCACAAAGATCCTTGTTGCAGAAGTATAGCCCAAATGTGTCTTGTGACACAAGCAAAGTTCCAAGTGGCCTTATCACTGAGCCCTAAATCACCCTCACTTTTTGGATAAGTGATTCTAGGCAAAGCTACCACTGCTTTTTCCCGAGTACCCTCACCAACTCCCCACAGGAAATCACTACAAAGTTTCTCAATAGCTCTGATATAGCCTTAGGAAGAATGAAGATCGACATCCAAAAATGCGAGAGGCTATATAGAACTAAGACCACCAACTGAAGTTTACCAACATAGGAGAGAGACTTAGACTTCCAGCTAGTTATCATGCCTACAACTCTGTCAATTAAGGGTTTACATGCTTTAATAGTACGCTTCCCAGCTAACAGGGGAAGTCCCAAATAACTTACAGGGAGAGTGCCCAATTTATACCCCGAGTATTATGCCATCAAAACCTGCCCTGGTCACAAATCCCCCCCACAGTAGAGCTCACATTTAGATGGGTTGGATTGAAACCCAGACATATATCTAAACTCTGATAAAACATTTTTAATGTACTGGATCCCAGAGTTTGAACCATCAGAGAAAAGTAAGAGATCATCAGCAAACATGAGGTGAGTCAATTTCAGTCTCGTGCACATAGGATGAAACGACATAGCATTCTGGAGAACAGCTCGATTCATTAGACATGAAAAAATCTCCATAGCCACAGCAAACAGATAAGGGGAGAGGGGGTCCCCTTGCCTCAAACCCTTTTTTGCAGAAAAATATCCAACTGAGCCACCATTTAAACCAATACTTAACTTTGGAGTAGTAACACACATTCTTAACCAAGCAAGGAACCTATCTGGGAATCCCATTGTATGAAGAACATTGAAGAGAAATTGTCAATCCATAGAATAAAAAGCTTTCATTAAATCAACTTTCACTAGTGATCTTGGAGAGATATTCTTCCTAACATATTTCTAAACCAGTTCATGAGCAAGCAGTTGGTTTTCACCTATAACTCGACCCTTAACAAAAGCAATATGATATTAATTTTTTCCAGTGACTAAACATGACACTTTTTAGTAAACTGAGTGACCAAACTTGGCATTTACCAAAACTCCATATAATACTAACGCAGTTATAACAAAATAGTATATTATTGTCAAAGTCGGTTTCCTACTATGGTAACAGAAAATTATACACCAAACCTAGATCTAAGTTGGTATGATCTCATAATGTTTTTATCATTTTCCAAAAAAAATCTAAGAAATAAATTATCTAGCTACCGGTTTTAACTTTGAACTTCTAGTCTCTAGATGGAGATTGTGATCTACATTTCATCACTCTAAGAGAAATTCATTACCTAAAAGAAGAATTGGAAAATAAACTAATAATTAATTAAAAAATCATTGATATTACATTCATAAACCTCCCCACCATTATCAATTCTCATTAACACGTTGAATTTTTAAGTTTATATATTTTTTATCAAAAAAATCAAATTCAAAATTAGAATTGGAAGTTGATTTGTCTAGTTAAATAATAAAGAATCAATTAATTAGAAAAGTCACACATATAAATATTTGTGTCAAACACTTAATCTTGTAATAAAAGAAAATTAAATAAAAACTAAACCACATATAGACACGCACAACCTTATAAGTTATAACAAAAGAACATATTAATAACATAACAATTTGTTTTAAAAGGGTTCCCAACGAAACCTTTTCTCCATTATAATATAGTATTCTGTTTGGTATTTATTAATGAAAAGGACAACAATATCCTTCCTAAATTCACTTTTAAGTATTTTCTTATAGAAAACCTCTTTATATTAGTGTTAAAATCCTCACTTAAACATAAACATAATAATAATAAACTAAAACCATCTCTCAATTTGATGGGATGCAGTTAGGGGTAGCTATACGGTCCGATTCTGATAAATTGGACCGAATTGATCCGGTCCCAGTTCGGTTTTTTCGGGAATATAAGGACCAAATATTGGATACAGTCCGGTCTTGATCCGGACCGGTTTTAACCCGGTCCGGTTCCAATTCGGTCTTGATTTTAGATTGATATTGTGGAGATTTTAGTGGAGTTTTGGGTGTTGGACTCTCTTATCTGGCCTTTATCCGATTTTGGTCCGGTCCCGAACGATTTTTACCTCAAATCTAAGCCCGAATATGAGATTTGATTGTTTGCTATCCGGTCCCGATCCGAGTTATATGGTCCGATTTCGGGTAAAACCAAAAAACCCGGACCAAATAGGCAGCCCTAGATGCACCATCTCTAAGTTGGACGATCTCTCGCCGGTGGTGATCTGCCGTCATCTCAGATACGTGTATTCGCTCCAAGGAGTAGGTGACTCCTTCCATAATTTCATGGAGCAGGATTTCGGTGTTGGCGGGGGCGGTGGTGGTTTGGGGTCTCCAAAGCTCAATTTGCCACCGAAGGGGAAAGGTGTGAGTGTCGAGGACGGTGGCAATTCGCCGAACACAGTTAGTGGTGTCGGGGGTGGTGGGTGGCTAGGAGCCAAGCATTGTTAACGTTTTGCTTTCATTTTGAACGGTTTACAATAACATTGATAACATTTTTTATATAAGTAATGTTAATGACTTATCGTAATGGTTATTAATATTTTCTTAATAATTAGTATCCTCAGTTGTATCATTATTAAGGGTGAGTATAAGCGTATCAATGTTTGAGAAAGAATTATTAACGATATGTAGTATGGTTGACGACCATTAGATCTGATCATTATCAATGATTTTGTTTGTCCAAAACACAATTTAGCTATTAATAGTGTGTGTTAGTTTCTTATTTTGGCCCGAACTATAACCATATAATCAACTTTGGCCCGTGGTTTCAGAAATTAAAATTTTGACCTCAACTATGCAGCATATATACTCAATTGACCTGACACATGATGACCGTCAATTTGGACGATCAACACCTTTGACCGTTAGTCAACATGCCATGTCATTGCCTTATCAGCCTAAAAACATTAAAATTCAAATTCAAATTATTTTCTTGATTCTATTATTTATTTATCATTTTTAAATTAACCATAAAATAAATATTAAACTAATTTGATTAATTTATCATTTTCAAATTACCCAAAAAAAATCTAAAATTTATTTTATTTTTGGTTAATGTGATAATGATAGATAATAGAAATTAGGAAAATAATTTGAATTGGAATTTTTTTAATGATTTTTAGGCTGACAAGATAATGACATGGCGTGTTGACTAACGATCAATGGTGTTGACCGTTCAAATTGACGGTCAAACCATGTATCGGGCCAATTGAGTCAATATGTTGCATCGTTGAGGCTATGATGCTAATTTTTGAAACCATGGGTCAAATTTGATTATATGATAATAGTTCGGACCAAAATAAGGTATTAAACTTAATAGTTTTTATATTGTTATCAATATTTTTGAGAAGAGAGTTATAAATAACATGTAGTATGGGCGCTACCAATTTAGATGCAATCATTATCGATGATTTTGCTTGTATTTTTAACGCCAACACAACTTAGTTATTAACGATTAAGAGTGTCATTATCAATGTTTTGATGTAAACTCTTATAGAATTAAAGGATTCATAAGTATTTTGAATTCATTAATAATAATGGGTATATCAGTAATAATTCATTTTATAAACATTAATAATGTAATTGGAAGTTATTGTAAGATAATGCTAGTTATGAACATGACGTGAAACTGTGAATTATTAATAGATGTTGTATATCAATGATAGTGTTTTTCAAATCATGATTAATGATGATGTTGCACACCTTTAATAATTCATTCACAAGTGTTGATGAAGAAAATGTAAATCATTAACAATTTATCTAAAATCATTAATAATATAATCTTAAAACAGTTATTAGTTTTTTGAAATCATTAGTAACAGTTAAATATATTATTAATCATTAAAAATTGATAATGCCATTTCAAAAAAGTAATAATATAATCGCAATTTGCCACAGAGAGATGGTGTGTCCATTTTTTATTTTTAATTTCCATTTTTTAAAAGCTAAATATTATTTTCGAATTTCAATTTTTAATTTAAAATATCATTAAATATGACCTAATAGGCTAATAATATTTAATCAAATATTTTCTAATTTTTATTTAATTCCGAGTATTTTGTAATAATTTAATGTAGAGTTTAGGAAAGAGAAAATTATCATTTTAAATATTAATAACATTAATTATTTTCTCATAATACCCCATTTATTCTTAACAAGCTAAGCTACTAACTACTAATCTTTCCTAAACTAAATTAATTCTTATAAGCCAATAGGAATGCTTTAAACATATACTTAAATTATAGGTTTAAGCACAAGATCTGAACCGAAAATAGTAAAAGTTTTTATGGAAGTTTGGATAAATGTCGAACTCTTGTTTCATTTCAGCTTTCGACTAACCTTTTATATATATTCTTTAATTGATAAGCCATGACTTAAAACTGACGTGACTATTATTTACCGGCTAACAGTGGCGGATTCTGGGGTGGCCACCCCGGGCCACCGCCCAACCTTCTTCTAGATCCGAACTAGTATAACTCTTATGTGTTTATCGATTTTAATCATTCGGCCCAGTGTTATTTTATAATATAATTGTGTGTAATTAGAAAAATGGGTAAGATGAACATATTCAATCATAACTCTAAATTTAGTCTAGAAATTCTAGCTCAAATGAATCTCGTCTAAAGAAAAACAATCAATTAAACCTAAAATTCTAAAAGTCTAAAACGTAAAAGGCTAAAAGAAATATAAGATTTTTTCACTTGAAAATCACTAGAGCAGGTGGTGGAAATAGGGATGGATACACAATACAAATTAATTAGTCGATTGATTTGTCTAGTATTGACATTGTCCGTTTCAACAGCTACTATGGAGAGAACCTTTTCAACAATGGAACGGGTGAAAAATGATTTGCGCAAGAAAATGAGTGATGAATTTCTCGCCGATTGGTTAACTATTTTATTTGAAAAAGAGTAGTATGCGATTAGTATGGATGTAGACTCCTTTATTGACGAATTCACCATATTAAAAGATCGACGTGTACAATTGATATTGTAACAAAAATTATAATTTTTTGCAGTATCTAGTTTTCTAATGAAATGCGGCTCAGTTCTCTACTATGTCCTGGATCCGTTGCTGCTGGCTAATCAATTGACTATTAAGAGTAGCATGGTTAATTACCTATTATAAAAAAAGGTCAATGGTTAAACCAGATCGATTCATTTTAGTAATATGAAAACATAAGCATAATTTTCTTTTTCAATAATTCAAACAGTAACCGTGTCAACGATTTTTAAATTGATTTTACTAGCTACAAAGGCAAAGGTTTTGTATTAATACATGTTTGTGAACAAGTAGGAATAGGGTGGCAGTTCGGTTATTTCGATTATAACCAGTAACCGATCGGTCGGTTATCGGTTAACCAAAATAACCATCCCCTTACTGAAAATTGACCGAAATAGGCTTCGATTTCTCGGTTATCTCGGTTATCGGTTAACCGAGTCACTTATAAGACCAAAAACCATTTCGTCTAGCCTCCAATAACTGACCAAAGTTTGGTTACTTCGGTTACCGGTTAGTGGATAACCGGCCGGTTATCGTTTAACTAGCTGGTTAACCGGTAACCTGTAACCGAACGGCCACCCCTGGGTAGGAAGCTCAAGCCACCGAATACATTGGCAGACTCATGATGGATGAATACGATGATTTGGAATGGCCTACTTCCATTTTGCCAAATTCACATAAATTAGAATTACAATCGCGGGAATGAAGTGCTCATTCCTCGATATTGGTAATGGAATGGGTATCGTACTTGTTGGAGGGGAACATGAACTATTAGTGCCGGATATTGGTAATGGGTATCGTACTTGTTGGAAATGAAATGGTGAAATATATTTGAAAGTTATATGTATGTATAAGACAGGAATATCATATTAATTGGAGAACTCTTATTAAATAGGTGTAAAGATTGAGTTATTTCTCTAAAGGTGCATAAATTTTGGAGTGACCTACTTTTATGAAAGAGAAAGAGGCAAAATACACATGTGTAGTCAAACCGTTAAAGTTTTGGCCGCCAATTAACTTTCAGGGTTGGAGATAATTCCTTCTGGGTAGAGGGGTTTTAGCCTTGAATGGGTGTGATTGAGTTTATGCAGCGGCGACATCCAACAAATGGTTTATGCAGGACCGGGAGATTGAGTTCCATATTTGCTTTCTTTTTCAATCTCATACCTTTCTTCTTCTCCTTTCCTCTGTTTTTTCTCTGTTTGAATGTGTTCGTGTTTATGCTCGGGCATCAAGAAATTGTATTAGATTGTGTTTATGTTCTTTTGGTTGTTTTGATTCTTGTTTTCGGCTAGTTTTTATATGGTTTTCTGTCTCTTTATCTGTCGTTTCTTCCACCTGTACACTTCTCCGTCGCATCACCATGTTGCTGGCGCCGGAATTTCGCTTCTCGCAGCAGGGGAAGAGGAAGAGTTGGAGAGAAGGGCGGCGGCCACTGGCGCTGGTGGGAGAGGAGATAGGATGTGAAAATAATTTTTATTTTTATTTATTTTAAAATTAAAAATATGATATGGCATCTATGTGGCAAGTGTTATTGAGTTGTCGATGATGTGTCTTGTGAGTTGGCATCCAGATCATCGTTTCGTTAATTCGACTAACGCTGTCACTGACGTCGTCAAACTACGTAACGGAAATGACTATTATTGTCATTAAACTTTAAAATTTTTGGCTATCTTTGGTATTTTCCCAAAAGTGATTATTATTGTCACAAACATCAAAGTTTTGGCTACACAGATGAATTTTGCCTAGAATATGTAATTTTTTTTATAAGCCAATAGAATATTTTTTGATGAAGTAATCTTGAGGGATATCGGATTATAAAAATAATATAGAAAGTCTATAATAATAAAATAAAATAAATGAGAGGTGCTCTCTCCTCTCTCCTCCTTCTGTGTTCCTGGTTTGGCAGATGTCTCTGGTCGGCGCTGATCGCCTGCCTCTCAGCTATCCTACGCAATCAGAAGAGCTTCGGCAAAGGTAAGGAACGGCCGGCCGGTGGGCCATCGGAGGTGAGGCCGAAGTTTTCAAAAAACCGATTTGAGATCCATAGACGGGTTCTCTTAAACTCGGGTAAAAACAAAAGAAGATTCAAAGATCTGAGGGACGAAATAGAGCTCTCGGAGTTTAGTCCAATGAAACGATGCAGAAAAGGGACACCAAAGGGGTGGCGATTTTGGCTCCCCCCCTCGTCTGTTCTGGATGGGATTATATCGCCTTCGGGCTCGATCCTTTTGAAAGAAGAACGTCAATCTGAACCCGTAAGGGGTCTAATACAAAAATGTAGCGGGTCTATCTGCGATAAACCTCTTCGGGGAAGAGGGTCCTGTACTACCGGCACAAGATGGCCCGAGTATAAGTTCAGTGAACCCAGATGGCTGCGTCGGCAACGCTCTCCGGTCGCAAATGATTGATCGGAGCATAAAGTCCGTGAACCCAGATTGCTGGTCCGACAACTGTTCCAGGTCGCA